GGAGTCTCCTCCGACCGTCCATCCCCTCCCAGTGCTCACGTCGCCCGGGTGCCAGCAGCGGAGTCTCCTCCGACCGTCCATCCCTCCCAGTGCCCACGTCGCCCGGGTGCCAGCGGCGAGTCTCCTCAGGCTGTCCATCCCTCCCAGTGCCCACGTCGCCCGGGTGCCAGCTGCGGAGTCTCCTCAGGCTGTCCATCTCCTCCCAGTGCTCACGTCGCCCGGGTGCCAGCTGCGGAGTCTCCTCAGGCTGTCCATCCCCTCCCAGTGCTCACGTCGCCCGGGTGCCAGCTGCGGAGTCTCCTCAGGCTGTCCATCCCCTCCCAGTGCTCACGTCGCCCGGGTGCCAGCAGCGGAGTCTCCTCAGGCTGTCCATCTCCTCCCAGTGCTCACGTCGCCTGGTGTGCCGCTGCGGATAAGTCTCCTTAGGCTGTCCATCCATCCCCCCAGTCTCCGATCGCCCGGGTGCCAGCAGCGGAGTCTCCTTAGGCTGTCCGTCCCCTCCCAGTGTCTCACGTCGCCCGGGTGCCAGCAGCGGAGAGTCTGCCATCGGCCATGCGCTGGCGGTCGCCAGCGATCAGTGGATGGCGGTTTGACCAGTTACTCTCACCGAACCTCGCTGAGATGACCATGTGGCAGGACTCCAATAACCTGCTAACTGGAATAATGCAACGGGACCACGTGACCAGACCACGCTGACAGGATCAGGTGACCACACCCCGCCTGTGGAACCATGCTACTGATCTGCTGACCAGACCATGTAAAGGGGTCGTAGGGATAGAGGTATGCTGCCCAGGCCATCTGACCAGACCCCGGCTGCTGCTGCGTCGCGACCGTCTCGGCTTGTGGTAGTGGTGTCAGCACGACCGGCGGAGTTTGTCCCTTGCTTTGGAGGGGCGCGGCGGCCGCTGGCTGGCGGCGCGCCGGGCCGGGCCGGCCACCAGTCTGCCGTCTGACGCCGGCCCGCCGCTCTGTTTACAAGGCCGCTCAAGTCGCGCTGGGTGCTGCAGGACACGATCCGTGCCAACTGCGCCATCCACAACCTCTCCTGGAACCTGGACGGCACGCACCTGCTGACCGGCGGCGATTTCCTCCAGATGTGGGTCAAAAAGGCGCGCGAGGAGGACCTCGGTGAGTGGTCGGCGCCCGGACCAAGGCCGCCGCGCAAGCGCGGCTCTCGCTGTGCCGTCTGTGACGGGCGGGTTGGGGCATACCTCGACAGGCTGGGCATGTCATGTGGACGGCTTTGTCAGCCGTGAGTGTTTGCTGGTTGCCTGCGATTCAGACGGCGTGCAGATCTTTTTTACTTTTACGATGTTTCTCGGTGGCAGCTGCGCATGGATGTACTGTACGCGCTTCATGTACGTATTGGTCGCCGAGAACTTACGTGTGCGTTGTGATGGACATTTTCACAACATGGGGTTGGAAATTGGGGTGACGTTATGTGGACGGACGCTCACACCCCAGACAATGATGCGTGTTTTCGGTACCCTCTAAATAACAAAAGAAACGTCAAAAGAATCAAACACGATGCGGATGCCAGACGAATGTTGGCTTCTCCAGCGGCTGCGTTATGATAGCCTAGGTCCTGTCAAAGCCCTCGCCCTGCAGAGAGTTAGCCTGCCGTCGTACAGACAACGGCTGGGTGGGTGGACTGTGTGGTGCGGCGGTCCGAGGACCGCACCGACCACCGCGCGGTGTGCAGCGCGGCCGACTAACGAGACGTCTGCCGGCGCAGCCGAGGCGCGCCGCGTCAAGTTCGCCGTGGGCGAGGAGCACGAGGACGCGGCCGGTCACGTCTGGGAGTGCTTCTGGCGCGTGCGCACCGCCGAGCCGGTGCACTTCATGGCATTCTCGCGCGACGGCTCTCTCTTCGCCACGGCCGGCAGCGCCGACCAGATCGTCAAGGTCTGGTACGAGAAGAAGCAAGGTAAGCAGCGTGGCGGCTGGTCTCAGACCGCGAGCCGGCCGGGCGGGTCGGCAGGCCAGGGCCAAGACCGGCTGCGATGGAGCACCGCTTGCGCGTCGCGGTCACGAAAGACCGCGAGTGCCCTCGAACTCAAAGTACGAGCTTCTGTGGAAGTTTTGCAATGTGGTGCTAGATGGGACGTTTCCGAGCGTGGTTCGCTGTAGACAGCAGACAGCTGGCAGGAGGCAGCTGACAGCGGCAGCTGGGCCCACCGCCTGCAGCTGATCGGCACGCCTCCTGCCGCAGCGCACCCGTCCTACCGGCACGGGGCCAGCTGGGCCGAGTGGGACGGCGTCACGTACGACTTCATCTACCTGGCGCACCCGCTGCCAGTCACCGGCCTGCAGTGGCGTCACACCAGCAAGTTCATGCACCGGTGAGCGAGCGCCGCCGCCCTGCTCCGGGCGCCGTCCGGACCCGGTCCGCCTTCCCCCGGCCCGGCGGGGTCCCAGTCCGCCCCCCCCCTCCCCCTCCCCCGGTCCGGAGGGGCTCCGGTCCAGGACTGAGAGTCCCGCTCCCGGTCACCAGTAGCACCCCACCTCCGACACGTCCGTGGGTCTGCGAACCGAGCCGCCGCCGTGTCCCTGTGCGCTGTGTCCTGTGTACCGGTTGGTCAGCGTCTCCGCCGGAGGCCGCCCTACCCGCCCGTCACCCTGCCACGCTGTCGCCCCGTCCGTTCGTCTGACGGTGGCCTTCCGGCCATGCCGCGTCCGTGTTCGGCTCTGTGATCGGCGCTGCCCTTCCGTCGCCGGCGACCGTTGGAGCGCGTCTCCGGGCCGGCGCGTGACCGCCGCCGCCCGCCGACAGGGGCGCTGTGGCCAACATGCTGGTGACGTCCTGTCGGGACAGCATCTGCCGCGTCTGGGTGGAGACGACGCGCGTGCCCGACGACGGCATGGTGGACATGGGCTGGCTGTCGGCTACCTCGCACGACTCCATGTACCTGCCCAGGAAACACAAGCAGCACAAGGTGCTGCACAAGTTCAAACACATGCGGTGAGTCGGACGGATCGTGAGCCGCTGCCGGCTGCGGTACATGCGCTCCTGTGGCATGACTGGGCCTGGCAGCGATGAGGGCGCCACGGCTGAATGATTTGATCACTCATTTCAGAATGATCTCTTATGTCTCATAATGCATCGTGCTTAAGCATGCGTGCTCGTAAGCCGCAAGTCGCAGTGTAAAACACCAATTTCTGAGACTTCTCCACACCGCAGCGGCGCTCGTGATATGGACGCGTTCGTTGACCCGGCTAAGCAGCGTGGATGCGGCTGGCAGCCGCTGACCTGGCGGTGTCGCTGCGTGCAGGCAATGTTTCCACCTGCGGCGACCGCACCGGTCGTCCAGCCAGCCGCCCGACTGGCGCCTGATCGACTCGCTGTCGTCGATGAACGGCGACGACGGCGGCGGCGCCCAGCGGGCCGCCATGCAGACGCTGCACTTCCACCTGGCGGCCAGCATCAACGCCGAGTCAGGTCAGTCACGCCCGTCTGGTCAGATCAGGGCACGGCACGGCACGGACGACACGACACGACACGACACGACACGACACGACACGACGGGATAAGGGCAGAACAGGTTAGATCAGGTCGGCAGGGCAGGGCGGGACAGATTAGGTCAGGTTGGGTCAGGGCAGGACAGGGCAGGGACGTGGGATGTGGTCAGGTCAGACGCATGACTGAGTTGGCCCTGTAACAGGAGTGGAACCAGCGGTAACTTAGGGTCAGGCCAGCAGCACGCGATCAAACCAGCGTCGGTACCAGCGCCGTTTCAGGCCAGTGGCACAGAGTCAGGTCACGGGTCAGGCCGCCGCTCAGGTCATCGGCAGCGCTTGGTTAGTTCGGACTTGTTGGAGAGACCAGTCGGCATCAAACGCAAAGAATACCGCATACGGCTTGCTACCAAAACAATGCTGTCGCTCGGAAACATGTGGTTTTGTGCGTGGCTGTGCTGAGCTGGACATAGGTCTTGATGCCACCGTGGTGAAGTTAGAGGAGACGATAACCCGTGGCCTTGTGCAGTCTCGTGCGGACCGTTCCCTCACTGGCATGTTAGTTGAAATTTCGCTTCCGCCCACATTGCGTCCTGATCCGCTTTCGCTTCCGCCCACCAAGTCCTGATCGTACAATACTCATTGCCAAAATTTCTTGGTGATTGTGAAAGGCAAATATGAACGAAGGTCTTGATGCCACCGTCTTTGGCATTATGCCGGTGGTACCTCACAGGCGGTATGCCAAAGACGCCTGACACAAGCCCGACCAATTTTCGTTAAAGAAGAAGCGCGTGTCCCGTGCTGCTGTCTTGTTGTTTGGGGAGCATCCCATGCCGCCGCATTGTGGCGACTGGCCCTCTGTTGGCTGCGTTCTGTCGCTCCGGCATCGGTCGGGCGTGAGCGCGGCGTCGGTGCTGACGCCGGACGCTGCTGACGCCGCGCGGATGTCGCCACCGCAGATATCCCTCTGGTGCCGAGCATGGGCACCTCTGAGGCGGGCTCGTCCATGAACTTCATGGTGCACTGGCTCAACAACAAGGAGATGACGTACACGGACGAGATGGAGCGGCTGATGGCAGAGATCGACCGGCTGGAGCAGCAGCAGCAGCAGGAGGCGGCGGAGCGAGGTACGTGCGGCCGGGGGCCCGGCCTCCGACTGGAGCAGCAGCAGCAGCAGCAGAAGGCGACGGAGCGAGGTACGTGCGGCCGGGGGCCCGGCCTCCGACTGGAGCAGCAGCAGCAGCAGGAGGCGGCTGAGCGAGGTACGTGCGGCCGGGGGCCCGGCCTCCGACTGGAACAGCAGCAGCAGCAGGAGGCGGCGGAGCGAGGTACGTGCGGCCGGGGGCCCGGCCTCCGGCTGGAGCAGCAGCAGCAGGAGGCGGCGGAGCGAGGTACGTGCGGCCGGGGGCCCGACCTCCGACTGGAGCAGCAGCAGCAGCAAGAGGCGGTGGAGCGAGGTACGCGTGGCCGCGGCGCCAGTAGCACCCCGGTAGGACTGGCACCGGCTGAACCACGGCGGGAGGAGCTCTGAGGCCATGCGTTCTCAGCCCCGCAGGGGCACCGGCTTCGGTCGGTGTAGGAGACTAGCGCCCCCTCGGGTCCCAGCTCCGGTAACGGGTGGACAGCGCAAGCTGTTCCTCTCAGGGCGTAGCGACCCTGGCGGTACGTGAGCTCCTGCTCCTTGTCCCGCCCGCTCCTTCCACTTTACCCGCACTCCCGCATCCGGCCCTATCACCACTCCTCATCCTCGTTTTATCGGGGTCGCCGTGCCCCCTCGCCCACGTCCCCGGGTTGATCGGATCCTGGTGGCTGAGGGGCGCGTCGTGCGGGTCAGTCACGGCGCGTCCCAACACTCCACTTTGGCCAGGATATCCGGGGGCGCGGGGGGCCCGTGGGGCCCCACACGGGTCTAGCGGCTTGTCGCTCGCGTCGCGGTTGGGTGCTCCTTGCGGGTTCCGCTTGGGGCGTCTGGCCGCGCGCAGCGGCTTAAGGGGTCAAGGGGCGGCGGCGCTGAACCACGGTCAGGGCGGGGAGGGGTCTCCCCGGTTACACCTGGCCGTGTGGGAGGCGTCGTCCGCCCCGTATAGCACCGAGGTAGCCCTGGCGGCACCACCACCAACTGGTGAGTGGGCCGTCCCCCAGTTGGGCTCCGAGGTGGGTGGGGAGCCCCAGTGCCGAAATAAAGAACAACCTTGCATGGCATCTACAAACCCAAAAAACTCCCACCCCCCGAGAGGGGGACGGACTGCGATGAATTTAGGGTGCAGCGAGGAGTCGGTTCCACCTGCCCCACGCGTTCTTGTCTTCCGGAGTGATGTGAAGAACCTGACATCGCTTTCACCGTTTCAGCGCCGAAACGGATGCGACAGGTTGGGAAAAGTCACCCGCTGTGACAAGCTGAGGGACGGCGCGATCGAAGTGGAGTTCGCAAACGGCACCGATGCGGCTCGAGCTTTGACTGTAACTGAATTTGTATATGCCGCGAGAACCGAGGGTGCAAAGCGAGACGTGAGCGTGCCGGTCACGGTCACACCGCACCACACCAAAAATTTCTCAAAAGGTATCATAAACTGCTATGACCTTCGTGACGTCAGCGAGGAGGAAATCATCGAAGAGTTGGGAATTTTCGGGGTCACGGCAGCACGTAGGATCACGACCAGGAGGGGTGATGACCAAATCCCTACAAACAACATTATACTGACATTCAACCGGCCTGATTTACCGTCTGATATCCGCATTGGCTACGCAGTTGTCAAAGTCAGGATCTTCGTCCCGAATCCGATGCGATGTTTTCAATGCCAGCGCTTTGGTCATACAAAACCACACTGCCGCAATCGAGCTGTCTGTGGGAAGTGTGCATCTTCCGAGCATTCGGGAGACCAGTGTACCTCTGTGCAGCCCTGGTGCGTGAACTGTAGCACGGGGCAGGTACCGCACACAACTTTCGATCGAAGTTGTCCATCCTTCATGAAGGAAAAGGAAATTATATCACTCAAAACTTCAAAGAACATTTCTTTCCGCGAGGCGCGTGAACAGTATGAGGCTAATCACCCCAAGGTATCTTATGCCGAAAAATCCAAAACCTCTGTACCACAGTCCACCAGCATCAGTCACATGTCAGCGGTCCAACTCATCACGCTCCTGCGATCCTTCGGTTTGTCTGTGGTGCCGGCGGGGCGGACGACCCCCGCCCAGTCGGATCCTCCTGGTCCTTCAGTTGTGTCCTGCTCTACCAACGCTGTGTCGTCGGGGTCGCAGGCGGGGGAGGAGGAGGGATGGACGGTGGTCAAGCGCGGCCATGGTCCGCGGGCTCGGCCTTCCTCGCCGTCTGTCACTCCGCTGCCCTCGTCGCCTCCGGCGACGCTGGCGAGTGTGTGTGGACGAGCAGCGGAAACGATGGAACGGCATGAGGCGGACAGGCGCGCCCGCGACGCCAAGCGGGCCCGCCTAGCGGAGTTGGAGAGGGCTAAGACGGCCAATCGCTTGTCCGTTGCAAGCAAGGAGCCCACCCCTCGCAGTGGCACACCATCGCCGAGAAGGCCAGTGGAGGCCCCCGCTGACCCCCAGACGCCCGGTAGAGGCCCGCCGATGGGCCCTCCCCCGCCGCCACCCCGGACCGGGTACGCTGGCGTCAAGCGTGCCCCGGCCGGTCCCCCATCTCCATCTGACGGCGGGAGCCCCAGAACTCGTCCCAGAGTGGGGCACCTCCCTACAGATTCCAACCGTGGCTCTCAGTCAGAAAAGTCTGCTTCTGCAACTGGCGCAGCCCAGTTCTTTTAGGACGTGCCCGGTTTTAGTATGTGACCTCCAACCGGCTTTTTAACACGCCCCCTTTACAGGCCTTTTTACAGTGGAACTGTAGAGGAATAAGGGCGAATGCCCTCGACCTCCAGGCTGTCGTCAGCAAGCACTGTCCTGCAGCCGTAGCGCTGCAGGAGACCAAGCTTGCTTCTAGTCACCACTGCACGCTGAAGGGATACGCCCTGTTTCGCAATGATGTGTTAACTGACGGTATCGCACATGGTGGTGTCCTTCTTGCAGTCCACCACAGCGTGCCAGCCAGGAGGTTTAACCTGCGGTCTACGCTACAGGCTGTAGCCGCACGCCTACATTTTAATCACCGTCACATCACGGTGTGTTCTTTATATCTTCCACCTGGCGTCGGTTTTCCATTGGAAGGCATGAGACGTTTAGTGCATGAGTTGCCTTCACCATGTCTTCTTTTAGGCGACTTCAACGCTCATCATACCGCGTGGGGCTGTGATAGCACGAACACCCGCGGAAGGATGTGCGAACATTTTATCCGTGACTCGTCACTGTGTATTTTAAACACAGGGACTCGTACTCATTTTACACTGCCGTCTGGTCAGACTTCCGCGCTTGACCTGAGTCTTTCTAGTCCCGAGCTGGTGGAGAGCCTTGAGTGGTCTGTGGCAGATGATCCAATGGGCAGCGATCACCTCCCAGTGTGGCTTCGATTCCAAATAAGGGGAACGTTGGGTGTAAGACCACGACGTTGGAATTTAAAAAAAGGCTGACTGGAGATAGTTTGAGGCTCGACTGGAGACATTATGTCAGACCGGAGGTGTGAGGGTGGCACCCTCTATTGAGGATTTTACTCACAGACTTCTAGATTGCGCTAGCGATTACATCCCGCGCACTTCTGGATTTCCTCGTCGCACTCCTGTGCCGTGGTGGACGGAGAAGTGTCGTGACGCAATTCGCGCACGCAAACGTGCTTTCCGAGCTTTTGACGCCAGAAGTAGCTTGGAGAATTTAGTAGCCTTTAAGAAAGCCAGGGCTTTCGCCCGCCGCACGATAAAAGAAGCGAAACGTGAATCCTGGCGTATGTACATAAGCACGCTCAACCGATTCACACCAACTTCGCAGGTGTGGGCTCGGATCAAACGTATCTCCGGGCAGTTTTCATCCGTGCCACTTCCTGTGTTACATGTTAACGGCCAGGTGGTGACTCATCCGTTGGATGTGGCTAACGGGATCGCCCGAGCACTCTCCCACCGTAGCGAAGGTGCAAACATGAGCCCACAGTTTTTACGGCAAAGAGCACGATCCGAAAAAACCGTAGTGAACTTTTCTACAAGGCAACCACAGGCGTACAATGAGCCCTTCACTTTGGTGGAGTTGGAGTCGGCAATCGGAAGACTTCGTAGTGTATCGGAAGGTCCTGATGACATCCACAATGAGATGCTCCGACATCTGCCTCCGTGTGCACGTCGTGCACTATTGGCGGCCTTCAATAGGGTGTGGTCAAGAGGTGAGTTCCCTCCGGCCTGGCGGGAAGCTGTTGTGGTGCCTATCCTAAAACAGGGAAAGAGTGGGCTGGACCCTCTTCATTACCGACCCATTTCACTGACGTCATCACTGTCCAAGCTCATGGAAAAGATGGTAAACGTGCGACTCACTTGGTTTTTAGAGAACAACGATATTTTTAGTAACTCGCAGTGCGGATTTAGGAAAAACCGTAGTACGGTGGACCATCTCTTAACACTGGACACCACGGTTCGCAAGTCTTTTCAAGAAAAAGCGCATATGGGAACAGTATTCTTCGACATTGAAGCCGCCTATGACACCACATGGCGCCATGGTATTGTTCAAAAGCTCTTTAAATATGGTATACGTGGCCATATGGGTGCTTTTCTCCAAAGGTTTTTAGCCAAACGATACTTCCGTTTTCGGGTCGGCAACGTCCTCTCCGACAGGTACGAACAAATAAACGGCGTGCCCCAGGGCGGCGTGTTAAGTGTTGCACTGTTCGCAGTTATGATAAATGATATTTGTGATGTGCTCCCACAGTCGGTCGGACGTGCCCTTTTTGTTGACGATTTTACTATTTGGACCAGTGCAGCGAGAGCACCAGCGATGGAGCGGCGTCTCCAGCTGGCTGTGGACCGCGTTGAAAGATGGGGTGACATGAACGGGTTTCGTTTTTCAGGCGACAAGACCGTTGCGATGCATTTTTGTCGTCGCCAGCGATGTGATGATCTGAGCATCCGTCTATATGGTCGCTCTATTCCAAATAAGGCCGTGGCCAGGTATCTTGGGATACACTTTGACCGCCGCCTTACATATAACGCACATCTTAAAATGTTACGCGATCGATGCTTTAAATCTCTCAACATACTAAAGTGTGTGTCTCGCACATCGTATGGGGCAGACGGAAGCACGCTTATGCTTTTATATCGTTCCCTCGTCCGCTCCAAACTGGATTATGCATGCTTTGCTTATGATGGCGCGTCTGAATCCAGCAAGCGTGTTCTTGATACCGTCCACCATACTGCCATTCGCATTGCTACTGGGGCGTTTCGCACATCACCTTCCGTCAGCCTTTTAACGGAGGCACACGAACCACCACTTTCGACGAGGAGGAAAATGCTTGGCATGCGTTATGCCTTGAAGCTGCGGCAGTTCCCACTTCACCCGACATATTCTGCAATATTTTCGCGGTTTGCAGTAAGTTCTCTTCGTCATGGGCCGCAGCAGCACGCTTTAACTTTTGGTTCCCGAATGAGAGCGTTATTGCTTGAGAGCGGAATTCCTGTTCGGGGTGTAAGGCATGTAAGCCGCCTGGCTTCTCCTCCTTGGCAAATGACCACACCCTTCATTGACACCTCGCTTACGGAAATTAGGAAAAAAGACGTCACACCACACCTACTGAGATCCAGGGCAGTTGAGCTTTTGGCGTGTTATGAAGGATATACCCTGACATACACAGACGGATCCAAAACCTCGGATGGCGTGGGTTGTGCTTTCGTTAGCGGGTCCGTCACTCGATCGTTCTCGTTACCGGCCCACTCGTCAGTTTTTACGGGCGGAATTAGTTGCAATCACCAAGGCGATATGTTTCATCGAAGTGGGTGAAGAATCTTCACACGCCATTTTTACAGATTCACTGAGCAGTCTCTCTGCACTGAAGTCTTTTTATCCATCATGTCTCCTTTTACAGGACATTTTATCACGCCTGACACAATTGAATCGGGTTGGAAAGAGAGTTGCACTATGCTGGATCCCTAGTCACGTCGGTATCGTGGGCAACGAACTGGCTGATGCCGCTGCTAAGCGAGCAGCGGTAGCACCATATACCCGGTTTTTGCCTATCCCTGCCAGAGATTTTTACCCGGCAGTCAAGACCTTCCTGAGAAGCAGATTGCAGCGCTGTTGGGACCAGGTGGGGGGCAATAAGCTCAGGGCAATAAAGACAGAGTTGGGCTTGTGGTCGTCATGCTCTCGCAGTGTGCGGTGGGAAGAGGTGGTTTTATGCAGGCTGCGCATTGGGCATACCTATGCCACCCATGGCCATCTGTTACATGGAGCCGACAGACCCCTATGCCAGCGGTGTGGTGCCGTCCTGACTGTCCATCATGTCATTATATCATGTCCATGCCTCTTCGAAGAACGACGACGTCACTTTGGTTCACAGGCTTCGACCCTGACGATAAACGATGTGCTTGGTGACAGTTCCTCCTTTCTTGGTCCCAAGCAGCTCTTTTCGTTTTTAAAAGATATTGATTTTCAAGTCATTTTCACACCGTACTAATTAAGTAACAGCATTGTTATGGGCGCAAAATGACCACTGCAGTCGACGCGCCCGAAAACTCAAATGAACAACAACAACAACATGCGTTCCCAGCTATCAGGAGCTTCTGATTGGTCGCCGTGCAGGGACGGACAGTTTCATGTGTTTTGTGTCGCGGGCAGGGCAGTGTGCGGCGCACAGAGGCCGTTTTTGTCTGCCGCAGTCTGAGAGTCTGCTCGTCGTGCGGAGCATGTCGTGGCCAGTTGTGCCTCATGCGTGTCCCTCCCGCGGAGTGAGCAGGGACGTACGTGAGGAGTGTCGAGTCGTCGGTTGGTGTCGTGTGTCCCGCCCGCGGAGTGAGCAGGGACGTACGTGAGGAGTGTCGAGTTGTCGGTTGGTGTCGTGTGTCCCTCCCGCGGAGTGAGCAGGGACGTACGTGAGGAGTGTCGAGTCGTCGGTTGGTGTCGTGTGTCCCTCCCGCGGAGTGAGCAGGGACGTACGTGAGGAGTGTCGAGTCGTCGGTTGGTGTCGTGTGTGTGTTGGACATCTGCTGTCGGAGAAGCCTCCATGTGGGCCGTGCACGCGCGCTTGACGGCGAGCCTGTGTGGTGAGCATTGTCTGAGTCTGAGGCTGGCCGTCTGGCGCCGCCAGAAACGTCTCCGCCGGCCGAGGGCTCTGACGACGGCGTGCTTTCCAACTCGCCGGCCAACCTGAGCGCCGTCTCGTCGTCCAACACGCTGGACGCAGCGGCGGCCGGCTACGCCGTCTCCGACGACCTAGAGAGCCGTCTGGCCACGCTGCTGCGCGACTGGGAGCAGGGCGCCGACCTGCTCTTCTCCATACACCCCGTGGACGGCAGCTTCCTCGTGTGGTGAGCGGGCGGGCGATGGCAGGCGAGATGGTGCGCGCTAGCGACGGCCATGCTGTGCCGACCCACTGGCCGTGTCTCGTGTGCGCGGTTACCACGTGTCGGCGCTGTGTGAGCGGGTCCGCTGCGGTACCGTCAGCGTCTGAGTGCTCTGCGCTGCCATTGGTGGTCTCCTCCGCGTCACCGCTCACCCCCCCCCCCCCCCTCCCTCTCGCCCGCAGGACGATCGACTACCTGGACGAGCACCAGCCGTCGTTCCGGCAGGCACAAGTGTCGTTCTCGTCCCGGATCCCGCAGGCGTTCCCGTTGGGGGACGCCATGACCATGTCGACCAAGCTATGCCTGTTCGCGGCGGCGCCGCCGGCGGCGGCGGCGGTGGTGGCCGAGCCGGCCGAGCCGGAATCGCCCGGCTGCTGTCCGCCGCCGCCGCCGCCCTTCCCCAGCATGGCCATGGTCAGCAAGCACGCCAACGGGTCGCTCAACCTCTGGTCCATCACGTTCAGCGAGGACTGCAAGTTCAAGACGGTGCTGAACGTGGCGCATGACCGCCGCGTCTGCGGTCACCGCTTCCGCGTCAACGACATCACGTGCCACCCGGTGCTGCCGCTGATGCTGAGCACGTCACACCACAACCCGCAGCCGCGCGCCGGCCAGACGGCCGAGCCGGCCTCGCCCGGCGCCGACACGCAGGTGGGCCGCCGACGGCGACAGGCAGCGTGCAGACGGTGGGGAGGGGGTGACGGATTGACCGCCGAGCGACCTCTTTGCGCCTCTGAATTATGCACTGCGTCTATACTCCGGTTTTTGTATGCGGCATTTTACGAACAGTTTATGCGTGCGTGCGTGCGTGCGTGCTTGTGTGTGTGTGTACGTGTTTCGTCTCAGTATTGTCGGCCGACCGGGTTGGTTTCCGTGTGCGTCCGTTACCGCCCACAACGACGCAACTTATCCCCTGCTACGCCGTGACACGCAGGTGCTTTGTGTGTCCAACGGTCTGTGTCCTTGGCTGATGTGGTGACATGTTTCGGACCGACATCAGCTGCGTGTTGCGCCACCGCCGCTGGGCGCAGCTCAGTCGACCACCCGCCGGCTAAGAGTGCCAATAATCCTTCCGAGTGCTGACAACATGCTGAAACCCCTGACGCTCCGCCTCGGCGCCGAGCTGAAGACAGACGTGGGAGTGTTACACATGTGTAGCTGGCGCTACGGAGGTGTGGCGGTGCCCGGACCGGGGCGCGTGGTCGGTGCGGCCGCTGACTGCGCCGTCTGGACCGCGCGGCAGACGTACACCAGCGAGCTGATCCTGTGGCGCGTGGACCCGATCGGCCCGCTCTCGCGCACCGGCGGCGTCACAGAGCTCACCCGCGTCAACGTGCCGGAGATGTCGGCCTTCTCGCACGTGGCCTGGGTGCCCACCCTGCTGCCCAGGTGAGCGGCCGGCCGCGCGGCTTCGGGTGCGGCACACTGCCGGCTCCTCCGGCGGCCAGCCCGTAGCGCCTCCCGACGCCAGAGGTTTGCGGCATCCGTCTGAGAGCTGATTTGGGGTCGGTGTCCGAGTGCGACACGGCACCACCCCTGCTGTACTCTGCTTACGTATTAGTGGCCGTTGGTGCCGTGCGGGCTGCATGGCGCCTCCCGACGCGAGAGGTTTGCGGCATCCGTCTGAGAGCTGATGTGGGGCCGGTGTCCGAGTGTGACACGGCACCACCCCTGCTGTACTCCGCTTACGTATCCGTGGCCGTTGGTGCCGTGCGGGCTGCGTGGTGCCGACCGTCGCAGCCTGGGTGTGACGGTGGGTGCCGGTGCGCCGCCGCGTGCTGACTGTGAGGTCCGCCGCTGCCGCCGCCGTAGCTGACCTCGTCGCCATCCGCAGCACCACGCTTGGCCCCATCTGCAACTCGCCCTCCACCTGCTTCGTGGCGTCGGACGGCCGCAACCTGAACCTGTACCAAGCCGTCATCGACGCGCGTAGCCTGCTGGCTGAGATCAACAACGCCCAGCGCAAGATGAAGCGCATGGTGAGTGACTGGCCCGACCCGGACAGCGGCGGCCCGGCGGCGGCCACAGAAGACGCGGTGCCCCGTGTAACGTCGCGTGCGCCCGTCAGTGACCACCTGGTGCTGCTCCTATATCTTGAAGCTGAGGCCGTGCATGCGTGCGGGCTGAGGCCAGCCGGATGCTGACGTGTCTGTGAAGCCCCATGTCCGGCCCACGCGGCGCGGCGTCGTGCCTGAGTGTATGGGCCCGCTTGCAGCAGGGGTCAGGTCTCAGCGAGTCGTCCGACAGCTCGTCCGTGCACGTGCAGCTGAAGACGCAGTCGTCGATTGCCGACGCGTTCCGGCTTGTCTCGCAGCAGTCCGCGTCGCGGCCCGGCTGCGTCATCCACATGGACACCATCCCGGATGTGACGCACGTAAGTGCATGCCCCGCCCCGCCCCCGCGTAGCCCCGCTCCGCTCCGCCCAGCTGTGGCGGCCGCTGTCTGCGGCAGCCAATGCCGCCACCGCTGCGCGCGCGCTGCGGGCGCCGCCGCCTTATGTAGCCGAGCAACTGTCTAAAAGTCAGACTGGCTCAGACTTAACTGACTGGATGCCAGACTTAAAACCGTCTGCCCGGGCGTGCGCAGTTCATGCCGGTGAACGTTGCGGGCAGCGATCGTTTTCTGTGGGCCCGTTGTTGGGGGGTCTCGGCTGCATGTCAGCAGTGGCCGTTTGCCGCGAAGTCTTCACGTTTGGATCTGTGCGCTGTGCCCGCGCCGTGATGGCGCTGCTGCCGCGGTGCCGGCGCGCTCCGGCGAGCGGGTGTGTTCCTGTCAACGGCGGCTGACCGGTGCCGGCCGGGCGCTGCTGCCGCGGTGCCGGCGCGCTCCGGCGAGCGGGTGTGTTCCTGTCAACAGCGGCTGACTTGTGCCGGCCGGGCGCTGCTGCCACGGTGCCGGCGCGCTCCGGCGAGCGGGTGTGTTCCTGTCAACGGCGGCTGACCGGTGCCGGCCGGCAGGACTGGGAGCACACGCAGTTCCTGCACGTGTACCAGGAGCAGCTGATCATCGGCCACGCCAGCCGACCCAAGGCGGGCCCGAGCAGCTGGTACCCGGCCGACCCCAGCTTCTCGGCCATCGTCGATCTCCACCAGACGGAGACGTTCTCCGAGCCCTTCTACATCGTGGTGATCGAGCGCGACACGCTGGGCACCATGATACACATGTGGAGGGTGGTGCTGTCTTCGCAGCCCCTGCAGGGTCAGTGTACGCTGTCGAGTTTGAGGCGGGCGGTTCACGTGTGCAGTGTGTGCCATCCCATGCAAGATGGGCGCAACGTGAACACTGCCTGTGCAATGCTGAGGATGTGGCGTAGAAATCGTATGTTTTTACATTCACCCACTTACCTGCTTGAGACATTTGCTTTGGAACGCTTAGCCGCAAAGGTCATGTACAATCTAGAGTTGCCAGCAATGAATTGGCCGACCAACACGGCGTGTAGCCATGGCAACCACGGCGCAGCTGCTGCCGTCCGTCGCAGGTCGCCAGGTTGTGACTGGCGTGTGTCGGACAGGCGACAACGGGCCCGTCGGATCTCCGGGGGACCAGCCCAGCCCCGTGCTGAAGCCGGTCTCCATCTCCACCGTCAAGGTAAGCCCGCCGCTGGCCGATCACTCGCTCGCCAGATCTACGCCGCCCAGTCCTGCGACCAGCCTGTGGAGCGTTTCCTGTCGTCTCTCTCCACCCCGATGATCGTGGTATGGTAGATGCAGACTTCTTTGACGTAGAGTCGCACGCTTTGATGCCGACTATCGCGTGCAACCGGAGTAAGCGGCACGCGCGTTGCACGCGACACTCGAAGTAGCGGTGCATGCGACCGCGCACCCACGTGCGCTCTGTGATGACTCTAACATGTGCAACAGCGTCCCTTGGTATCCGGTGCCGTACATGGCGGCCACCGCGCGCGTGTTATGCCGTTGTCAGGGTTAGGGCTGGCGCCTGGCTTCACCGCGAGGACCGCCGTCCCTCCGGCGTGAGGTCTGATGGTGATGGCTGCAGACCCCGCGTCGGCCGCTGCCGTGAAACACAGCGCCTGATGCCGCTCTGACACCTTGCCGTCTGTCGTCGATGTGGGAACTGTGGTGTCAGGTGTCTGTTAGCACTGTGAGAGCCGGCATCTGCTGCCGCTGTGAGACAGGGTGCCCCGTGGCCGTTACGAGAGTTGCTGTCTGCCACCGCTGTCGACGAGCCGTCGTCTGGCGTTGTCTGGCGGCCGCTATGAGATGTGTGATAGCTGACGCGGCGCGGCAGGTGTGCACCCAGCGTCTGCCGCTGCCCGAGGGAGTGGAGGTGACGTGTGCCACGCCGGCGGCCGGCCACCTCAGCTCGGCCTCCATCTACCCGGCCTGCTTCGCCACCTACCACGTGGTGACGGCCTGCTCGGATAACACAGTCAGGTGAGGCTAAGCGGCCGCCCGGTTCTTAGGCTCCCATCCCGGTTCTTAGGCTCTCACCCCGGCTCACAGGCTCCCACCCCGGCTCACAGGCTCCTCCCCGGACCCAGGGGCTCCTCCCCTTGCTCAGAGGCTCTCCCCCGGCTCGGAGGCTCCTCCGCAGACTCAGAGGCTCCTCCCCAGTTTCAGAGGTTCCTCTTCCGGCTGGGCGGATCCCTCCGTGGCTGAGGCTCTGCCCCGAGGCTCCGCCCCCCAACGGACACTCCCGTCTGACTTACTTCCCTCCCCCGACTGATCGCCGGCTGCCGTGTGATTGATGCAGGACATGGAGTGCTCCCACAGCGCCATCCAGTGGTGGTGCCGTTGCGATGCCGGGCGAGCGTGCTGAGCCCGGTCGGCCTGGCTAACGTTCGGTCCTGTGCTCGGCAGATTCTGGAAGTGCCGCGTCACCGAGACGACGACGCCGGACGGCTCCGCCTCCAAGACGTACCAGTGGTGCGACTGGGAGATGATGAACTCGACCGGGCGCGGCTCGGCGCTAAAGCTGCCCGGTTAGTGAGCGGCACGGCTGGCGTGGCGGTGTGGGGTTGGCGCTCTCACCGGACCCGACCCTCACACGACCCGGCTGGGTCCGGCGCTCTCACCGGACCCGACCCTCACACGACCCAGCTGGGTCCGATGGTTTCACCGGACCCGACCCTCACACGACCCAGCTGGGTCCGGTGCTCTCACCGGACCCGATCCTCACACGACCCAGCTGGGTCCGGCGCTCTCACCGGACCCGACCCTCACACGACCCAGCTGGGTCCGGCGCTCTCAGTCGCTGTCGCTGCGCCTCACCGGGGCGACTTCCGGTCATGGCGCCGGCGCGATTCGCACCGCCGCGGCACGATACACAGTGACACTGCTAGGGCTGCCTCTGTCGGCGGTCTGCGGCTCGGCCAGAGCTGGCCACGTGTCTGTTCCGGCTCAGCTGGAGCTGGCCGCGTGTCTCTCCCGGCTCGGCCAGAACTGGCCGCCTGTCTGTCATGGCTCAGGTTGAGCTGGCCGCGTGTCTGTCCCGGCTCGGTCAGAGCTGGCCACGTGTCTGTCACGGCTCAGCTGGATCTGGCCGCGTGCTTGTCACGGCTCAGCTGAAGCTGGCCGCGTGTCTGTCCCGGCTCGGCCGGAGCTGGCCGCGTGTCTGTCCCGGTCCGGCCGGACCTGGCCGCGTGTCTGGCCCGGTTCGGCCGGAGCTGGCCACGTGTCTGTCACGGCTCAGCTGGGGCTGGCGCGTGCCTGTCACGGCTCAGCTGGAGCTGGCCGCTTGTCTGTCCCGGCTCAGCTGGAACTAGCCACGTGCCTGTCACGGCTCAGCTGGAGCTGACCGCGTGCCTGTCCCGGCTCGGCCGAAGCTGGCCGCGTGTCTGTCCCGGTCCGGCCGGAGCTGGCCGCGTGTCCGACCCGGTTCGGCCGGAGCTGGCCACGTGTCTGTCACGGCTCAGCTGGGGCTGGCGCGTGCCAGTCACGGCTCAGCTGGAGCTGGCCGCTTGTCTGTCCCGGCTCAGCTGGAGCTAGCCGCGTGCCTGTCACGGCTCAGCTGGAGCTGACCGCGTGTCTGTCCCGACTCGGCCGGAGCTGGCCGCGTGTCTGTCCCGGTCCGGCCGGAGCTGGCCGCGTGTCCGACCCGGTTCGGCCGGAGCTGGCCACGTGTCTGTCACGGCTCAGCTGGGGCTGGCGCGTGCCTGTCACGGCTCAGCTGGAGCTGGCCGCTTGTCTGTCCCGGCTCAGCTGGAGCTAGCCGCGTGCCTGTCACGGCTCAGCTGGAGCTGGCCGCGTGTCTGTCCCGGTCCGGCCGGAGCTGGCCGCGCGTCCGACCCGGTTCGGCCGGAGCTGGCCACGTGTCTGTCACGGCTCAGCTGGGGCTGGCGCGTGCCTGTCACGGCTCAGCTGGAGCTGGCCGCGTGTCTGTTCTGGCTCAGCTGGAGCTGGCCACGTGTCTGTCACGGCTCAGCTGGAGCTAGCCGCGTGCCTGTCACGGCTCAGCTGGAGCTGACCGCGTGTCTGTCCCGGCTCGGCCGGAGCTGGCCGCGTGTCTGTCCCGGTTCGGCCGGAGCTGGCCGCGTGTCTGTCCCGGTTCGGCCGGGGGCTGGCCACGTGTCTGTCACGGCTCAGCTGGAGCTGGCCGCGTGTCTGTCCCGGTTCGGCCGGAGCTGGCCACGTGTCTGTCCCGGCTCAGCTAGAGCTGGTCACGCGTCTGTCCCGGCTCAGCTGGAGCTGGCCACGTGTCTGTTCTGGCTCAGGTAGAGCTGGTCACGTGTCTGTCCCGGCTCAGTGTGACCAGCGTCCTTGCTGCAGGCACACCGTTGACAGTCAGCGTGGCGTACAGCGCCCGCGTCTCCTGCGCGTACAAGATCGGCCGCTCGTTCACGCGCAAGGAGCACGAACGCGGCGCGCGCTTCGTCAACCTGGGCGTGGTCATCTACGAGTGCGAGTCCAGCGGCGGTGAGTGGAGCGGCTCCTGCACCGTCGATCAGCTGGCAGCTCAGCTGATTATCATCTGGCAGCTGAGGGGAAGGGGGATGAAGGGAGGCCTCAGAGGGTCGGCTATGCCCCGCTTTGATGCCATATGGCCTGGTCTTTCCATGACAGCTGGGGTACGTCGCTATGGCTCATACTTAACTTAATCGGGGGCAATACGGAGAAGATAACGCATATGCACCCAGTACAATGCACCTTGTAGAGTCTCGCCCGTCGGTGTGCGGTGTCGCAGGCCACCCCGCTCTGTGCTGATCAGGCGGTCGTGTTCACCGCAGGCCACCCCGCTCTGTGCTGATCAGGCGGTCGTGTTCACCGCAGGCCACCCCGCTCTGTGCTGATCAGGCGGTCCTATTCACCGCAGGCCACCCCGCTCTGTGCTGATCAGGCGGTTCTGTTCACCGCAGGCCACCCCGCTCTGTGCTGATCAGGCGGTCCTGTTCACCGCAGGCCACCCCGCTCTGTGCTGATCAGGCGGTCCCATTCCCCGCCGCCACGTCAGTGCCATGTCCTCCAGTCACGACACAGGCCATTGTGCATGCCGCGCCTGCCGCGTTGACGGACCTGGTACATCCCTCTGGCGGCAGGCTCCGAGTGGGTGAAGGAGGACACGATCACGCTCCACAACGTGCCGCTGCCGCGCCTCTACACGGCCGCAGACCCCAACAGCTCGCTGCTGGAGGCGTGCGGACACCGCTATGTGCTGCAGGGCTTCGGCCAGTCGCTGGCTGACGACGGCGACGAGCCGCGCCCACCCAAACGTGAGTCGGCCGGCTGGACACAGAGCTCGATCAGGCAAGAGACGGGGGACCGGACACAGGGCCCGACCAGGCGTGAGTCGATGGGCCGGACACAGGGCCGGACACAGAGCCCGACTAAGCGAGAGACGGCGAGCTGGACACAGAGCCTGACCAGGCGTGAGTCAGTGGACCGGACACAGAGCCTGACCAGGCGTGAGTCAGTGGACCGGACACAGAGCCTGACCATGCGTCAGTCAGTGGGCTGGACACAGAGCTTGACCATGCGTGAGTCAGTGGGCTGGACACAGGGCCGGACACAGCCCGACCAGGCTTGAGTCGACGGGCCGGACACAGATCGACTATGTGTGAGTCAATGGACCGGACACAGAGGCGCGAGTCAATTGGCTGAACATCTGGTGAGTCAATGGGCCGGGCACAGTGCCGAGCACAGTCAGGGCGCCGGACCGGGCGTGAGTCAGTGGGCCAGACATAGCTGGGCCTGGTAGTGGTGACAGAGTCAGTTTTGTGAACCCCGGCAGATGGGAGGGTGGCCAGTAACATGTGCTTCGTCGTTGCAGTCAGGCCAGGGGGACATGTGACGTGGACGACAAACCTTTCGCGATGTGGCGCCTTAATGATACGGCAATAGCCGTGGAAGCTGTGTGGTGTCGTGCTCTGTCCAAGGCCGGCTTGCGCGTATCTGTGTTGATGATCGTGCTGAGCCCGGCTGTTGCCCGTTCGGCAGCGCCGGCCATGCGCACTGCGCCCAGCTTCATCAATGACAACACGGTCAAGTCGGCCATCGCCGAGGAGGGTAACATCCTGATGAGCGTGACGCACAAGCACCTGGTGCGCATCGACTGGGTGTCTTCGGAGGACGGCTCGCACATGCTGACGCTGGGCGTGGGCAGCAAGGTACGTCCGTCGGGCCGGACGGCCGGGCGAGGTCGCGCCGGCTACCAGCGGTCGGGCGGCTCCGAGCGGGGCCTCCAGCGGTGGTCAGGCGGGCCGAAGCGCCGCCCCGGACCGCTGCCTGTGGGCCTCCTGTGACGCTGGCGGGAGACTGTCTGGCATTCCGCTCGCCTGCTGCTCGGCTGGGCCGCGCTGTGGACGTGTTCGGGTGGGTTTGCGGCGTGCCTGCCGCTGCCGGCGCCGGATGCCGTCGAGACGCGGCGCCCGGGCGCCCAGAGGGCGGCGGCGCGAGGAAGCGTCGCTCGCTGCCCGCCTGCTGGACACGGCGCTAGCGGCGGCTGTTGGCAGCCGACTGATAGTCACTGGCTGTGGCGATTCTGCAGATCCTGATGTTCACCCGAGTCTCCAGCGACATCACTGTGGCCAACATGAAGGCGATGAAGGAGAACCAGCAGACGTCGCGGCCGATGCTGCAGAAGGCCTCGTCCATCGCACTCTCCTCGTTCTCGCCCGATCAGATCAGGTGTGGCCCGCTCTGCAGCCGCAGATCTGTCCACAGATTACCTGTCCCACTCCCCCCCCCCCCCCCCCGCCGCCGCAGTGGCGCGTTATTGCTCTGTCACGTTATTACGCGGCTTGCATCATAGTCTGGGAATGCAGCTGTAGAGTCTGTACCCTTGCCCTTTGAGGCTGATGCGGTGATGCCAATGGGCGGTTGAAAGTTGTATGTGTACTGGGTAGTCCGTGTTCCTGTGACTCTGAACCCTATCTGTGAGCCTTTATGAAGTCGTGGCGCTTGTCGGCGCGTGCCCGCTGGGGCCTCGACTCTGACCTGTGTCGCCGCGTGCCTGACTGTCATGCTTGGTGGGTAATCGTGCCTGTCGAGACGTACCTGTCCTGCTTCTGGTGCGTGCCTGCGCCCAGTACCCCGTCGGTGGTCGGGCTGTGTGCTCTGTTGTGCCTGCATGCGGTATGATGCCTCCATGACAAGTCGCAGTCTGTGTCTGCGCCTGCCTGTCTGTGCCACCGTACGCCGTGTGCGTCTGTCCCTGCGCTCACGTACCTCTGTCGGTGACTGTGGCGTGTATCGGTGCTTGTCTGCCCGTATCTCCGTGCCCCTGCGTCCCGTGCGTCTGGTGGTGACTGACTTGTGTCTGTGCACACCCGCCTGTGTGCCCCCGCGTGCCTGCCCCCCGCCAGCCGTGCCTCCGTACGTGGCCGCGGTGTGCGTCGACTCGCGCCCGCCCCGGCCTTGGACGCCGGCCTGAGTCCCGCTCTGGCCGCCAGGTGGATGAAGATCCGACAGATCAAGCTGGAGTCGGCCGATGGCTTGCCGCCGATTCCCATGCAGATGAGCTGGGTTCGCGACGGCGTGCTCATCGTCGGCATGGACAACGAGATGCACGTCTACAGCCAGTGGAAGATGCCGCGTCAGTGACCGCCACCGCGCTGCCCGCTCCCGCGCCGCACTGGCCAGACGGCGCCAACATAGCTCACTTAAGGCCCCAGGCTCAGGACAGATTGTAAAGTGAACTGTATTCGCGGAAATACCCCAAGCTGGGGTTTTACTGGGAGCGAGTGCTTTAGGTTTTGTTTATGTGCCTTGGTTTGTAATAAGCATGTTTCTTCCCTGGTCTTCGGCACATCTATTTGTTTGTGAGGATGTACTTTGGTCCCATCTGCTAACCCAGAACCCCAGGGACATATTTGCCAACTGTAGAGATGGAGACTGTGATGGTCTGCTATCTTCATTGATAACAAAAGTGCTAATGGCTATGAACAGAACTATGAAAATGAAATGTGGCTAATGAAATCGGTGGCTGTTACCCGTCACTGGCTAGGATTACGTGGGTCTTCCGTCCCTGCTTGCCTTCGCGTAGTTTCCAACGCAGCGAACGTGAAGTAAATCCGGCGTGCTGAGCGAGGTGCCGCTTCGTCCGACGTGTGTGTGTGTGTGTGTGTGCTTGGTGTTGTTTGAGCGGCGCCTCTCTGCGTGGCCAGCGCTGAGCCTGTCGCGCCGCTCTCGTGGGGAGCTGCAGCCGCTGACGGACGACTACGTGGAGTCGCGCAACCTCACCGACCAGCAGCTCTTCACGTACGCCTCGGTGAGTCGGCCGGCCGGAGGCAGGGCCGCGGACGGCTGTGGCGGCGTGCTGCCCAGCCCGTCCGCTGCCAACACCACTGGCCTGCGAATGCCAACGGGTCTTGTGTAGGGCCGTCCTTGCTGGTTCGGCTGTATATGTATGCCATATGCGGTATTACTTCAGCAGACAGCAAACGCTTAAAAGTAAGGACTTACTGACCGTGAATCGATCATGGTGTGGTGGGTGCGCAGTTGAGACTGCGCCAAGGCCTGAGAAGTGACTATGGCCAGCCGTCGCGTCCAGCCGCGCCGTCTGCGCCGCCAGCGGTGACCAGCGGCTCGGTGACCGCCGCCCGCCCGCCGCAGGACTCCATGAAGAAGCGCATCATGTCCGTGTCTTCGCTGGCCAACCTGGACCTGCTGAAGTCGCGGGCGATGGAGGCGGCGCGGCCGGCCGCCCAAGACTACATGCCCAACTACGGCCTGTTCGTGGCCAGCAGGATCGCATTCCCCGTGCTGCCACAGTACCACCCCAAACAGCTAATGGAGCTGCTCAACTGTGGCAAGGTCAAGCGTGTCAAGGCCATCCTGGCGCACATCGTGCGATACATTAGGTAGGTCGGCGGGGTTGGCCGTGGGGGGGGGGGGGAAGGGGTCTGGCTTCGGTCTGGGCGGGAGGTATAACAGCTGCAAACCTCGTCAGAAGCATAGCTGTCCGTGAACGGTTGCCCTGCTGACGGTCCGGGTTCAGTTTTCGACGCCGACATTCCAGGTACTTCGCCCCCGCTCCACCATCTGCCTCCATCAAGAGTCTCAGACGAACTGGTCTGGTGTATGCATTACTTAGTCAATCTGGCATTTTTTAGACTTAGCCAAATGTGGCGGTGTTTTGGACTGGATATATGTGGCGTCGTCTGTCATCTCGTATCAGTGTCATCTATATGCCGTCTGCGTGTACCGTCTGTATGCTGTCTGCGTGTGCCGCCTGTGTCGTCTGTATGCCGTCTGCGTGTACCGTCTGTATGCCGTCTGCGTGTGCCGCTTGTGTCGTCTGTATGCCGTCTGCGTGTGCCATATGTGTCGTCTTTATGCCGTCCGCATGTGCCGCCCGTGTCGTCTGTATGCCGTCTGCGTGTGCCGCCCGTGTCGTCTGTATGCCGTCTGCGCGTGCCGCCCGTGTCGTCTGTATGCCGTCTGTGCGTGCCGCCCGTGTCGTCTGTATGCCGTCTGCGCGTGCCGCCCGTGTCGTCTGTATGCCGTCTGTGCGTGCCGCCCGTGTCGTCTGTATGCCGTCTGCGTGTGCCGCTTGTGTCGTCCGTATGCCGTCTGCGCGTGCCGCCCGTGTCGTCTGTATGCCGTCTGCGCGTGCCGCCCGTGTCGTCTGTATGCCGTCTGTGCGTGCCGCCCGTGTCGTCTGTATGCCGTCTGTGCGTGCCGCCCGTGTCGTCTGTATGCCGTCTGTGCGTGCCGCCCGTGTCGTCTGTATGCCGTCTGTGCGTGCCGCCCGTGTCGTCTGTATGCCGTCTGTGCGTGCCGCCCGTGTCGTCTGTATGCCGTCTGCGTGTGACGGCCGCCACTCGCCGCCGCAGGAGTCTGTCGCGCCAGTCCCGGCTGGAGTCGGCCACCACTGACCCGGACCTGGATGACCCGGACGTGATCGAGAAGCTGGCTCGCAGCCGCGGCATGTCCGTCTCCCTGCAGCCAGGTGAGCGGCGCCCGGCGGCCCGCTCCCGGCGCTGCTCACGCGCCGGCGGCCGCTGGTCGGCTCCCGCCGGCGGCCGCTGGTCGGCACCCGGCGGTGGCCGCTGGTCGGCACCTGGCGGTGGCCGCTGGTTGGCTCCCGCCGGCGGCCGCTGGTCGGCACCCGGCGGTGGCCGCTGGTCGGCTCCCGCCGGCGGCCGCTGGTCGGCACCCGGCGGCTGCGGAGACAAGCCATTTGACCTCACGGCACACCACCAACGAGCAGACAGTCAGAGCTCATGATAACTCAGAGAAAGTTCCAGACTGTGCCGTAACGGGAATCCCACCTGTGGCTGTATGTCTGTCTATAAAGTCACCTTAATGCCCCATTTAGCCTGTTTTCCATCTGTGTGTTTGGCGATGGTATCAGACCCTGACCGTGTGGGACTGTTGGCGCAGGGAGTCCGCTGGAGCGGCAGCAGACTGAGGACATCCGACCTGACTACGAGGAGATTGACTCGGTGCCTCCGCTGCCGCTGTGGATGCTGCTGGCGGCCGACCGCGACCGGCGCGGTGCGTCGTCGGCCCCCGGAATGGGGCAGGACGAGGAGGTGAGGCGTAGATTTTGGCAGGACGAGGTGATGCGAGGACGGGAGAGGACGGGGGCAGAGCGAGGAGGTGAGGCGCGGATTGGGGCAGAACAGGGAGGCAAGGCACGAAAGGGGGCTGAACGAGGAGGTGAGGCACATATTGGGACAGAACGGGGTGGTAAGGGACGGACTGGGGGAGGATGGGGCAGGACGAGGAGGCGAGGCGCAGATTAGGGAAGGACGGGGAGGTAAGGGACGGACTGGTGTAGGATGTGGGCAGGACGAGGAGGTGAGGCCCTGATTGGGGCACAAGGGCGAGGCGAGTCACGGGGTGAAAAAATAAAGTGAAACGTGGGCTGCGGGAGGCCGAGGACTTGACACATTTTCAGTACAGCGTGACAAGAATCGAACGCTGCCCCGATTAGGTGAGGGGTGGAGGTGGACCGCACTTGTGCGTTCTCCGGAGGTCATCTTGACGTTGGTGTCACGCCCGCAAAGGCCGAGAGCATGCCCTTCCGCTGCAGTGTGGCCTGTACTCGTCAGATGTGCTCTGTCCGTGCTGTCCCGTGCCAGCCAGCACTGGTGTCCGCGCCGAGGCTGCAGCGCTGTACATAGCCGCCGCCGTGTCCGGCCCCGTTCGTCCGCCACGTCCGCCCCTTGCAGATGTACGACGACCTCTTCAAAGTGGACGAGGACGAGGCCACGCTGGAGGACATCATCGGGGCCTCTAGGAAGCGGCGCAAGTCGACCACCGCGCCGCAGGCCGAGGGGCTCAGCCACTTTGGACCGCGAGAGGTACGTGCGCCGTCGCACCCGGCGAGCGCGCCGGGGCACGTGACCTCCTCTCCCACCCGTCCCTGCGGCCGGCCGACTCGTGTCTGCCGGAGGAGAGCACCAGCTGGTGTGGTCTGCCGTAACGCCGCCTGCCATATCGTCATGGGAGGGAAACAGCCCTTCTGAATACATTTGTTCGCGTCAGCTTCTGGTGTCGGAAAAGGCTTGTAGCCTCTTGACTTCGCTGTGTCTCGTGCGAACGGCGTGTTTTTCCGCTCCTATGCTGCCACTGGCGGGATATGTACGAGCCGTGTCGCCCACTTTCGCCGTGTTTGCGCCGGTCCGGCTTCTACTGTCTCCCTGCTGTTTTTCTGCTGTCTCCCCGCATGTGCACTGTCTCCCTGTCTGTGTCCGCAGCTGTCCCTGTTCCTGTCCACTGTCTCTCTGCCTATGTCCTACGTCCGCTGTTCCTTCCCGTGTCCGCTGTCCGTGTCCGCGTCCGCTGCCTCTGCTCGTGCCCGCTGTTCCATCCCGGTCTCGGCCGTCCGTGCCTGTGTCGGCTGCCGGCCCGGGCTGCGGGGTGCCGTCTCGGCGGCCGACCCGGGGTGCAGGGTGCTGTTTCGACTGCCGGCCGCGGCGGCGCCAGTCCGTCAGACGCTGACCTCGGCGGTGTGTCCGGCAGTCCCGAATGCTGACCCAGCTGCTGACGCACTGCCACCTGCCCGACCTGACGTCCATTGACCAGCTGTACCTGATGGCGCTGGCTGACACGGTGGCCTCGGTCGACGCCGACCTGGCCGAGCGGTTCGATGACCTCTCCGACGACAGCGCCGGCGAGCCCAAGAACACCGGGCCCAGTCTGGGTAGGTCGGACGGGGCGCGTGCGTCGTGTGTGAGAGCGGCACGCCATAGTGAGACGGCGGAGCTGTCTGTGGGAGGCGGGTGTTCGTCTGGTCAGAGTGGCTGCACTTGGCCCGCGGTGAGATGTCGCTTTCGCAGTAGCTCGGCGTCCGGCGCGCCCGTTGTTGTGACCGCTGTCGGCTCGACCGCAGACTCGGTGGATGACTGCGGTCTGCGGTTCGTGCTGGCCATGCGGAACTTCACCTACCTGTCCAAGTGTCTGCCGCCGAAGGAGAAGGCCGAGCTGAACTCGGAGGGTCTGACGTGAGTGATGCCGGCCGCCGGTCGAGACGCTGCGCCTGCTGCCGTGCAGGGGCGCTCAGAGGGACAGAGAGACGTGTTCGGAATGTTCCCCGATCACACCGTAGTTGTGACAGCGCGATAGTCGTGACAGCCGGATAGCTGTGATTGTTGCGATAGTTGTAATAGCCGCGGTAGTTGTGACAGCTGCGATAGTTGCGAGTCATCATTCGGTAGTAAGCGGTAAGCCGTCGCCGGGGGATTTGTGGTGGCGCTCCGTTTGCGTTGAGCCGTGTGCACACTGTGACACGCTGGCAGCTGGTGCCTGCCGTCACGGCCGGTAACGCCGCCGGGCCGCCGCCGCCAGCTCGTCGTACGTGGTGTGGGGCTTCCACTCGGAGAGCCAGGAGGAGCTGCTGCAGCTGGTGCCGTCGGTGGCGCGCGGCCAGCCGCTCTGGCGCGAGCTGCAGCAGCTGGGCTGCGGCTGGTGGATCCGGAGCAACACCCGCCTCAAGCAGCTGGTCGAGCAGGTGAGCGCCGCCGAGCCGAGCCCGCTGGGAGCCGGACGCCGGCATACGTTGTGGCAACCCTGGTGAGCTGTGTCGGAATTGTGCTGCTGAAGATATGGATTGTGTGTGTTATCTTTCGCGTCAGCTGTTCACAGCGAGGTGTGACTATGTTAAGCCTTTCATGCAATTGATCCAGCTGGTAATTGTGTGCAACCACAGCGATGGTGGGTCTGCCACGCTTATCTCTGCGTGTGTGTATGTATGTGTGTGTGTGTGTCGGCACGCCAGTTGCTGGCTGTGACGTTGGCCAACTGGCGTACTCCGTCTTCAGATTGCCAAGGCGGCCTACCAGAAGAGCAAGGACCCGATGGACGCGGCGCTCTACTACTTCGCCATGCGCAAGCGAACCGTGATCGCGGCGCTGTACAAGCAGCTGCGCGATGACAGGCGCTACAAGTTCTTCAGTAAGAACTTCAACTGCCAGGAGGGCCGGACGGCGGCCAAGAAGAACGCGTACCAGTGCCTGGGTAAGCAGAAGTTCGTGTCGGCGGCGGCGCTGTTCCTGCTGGCCGACTCGCTGTCCGACTGCATCGAGGTGATCCTGAGCAAGCTGCGCGACCTGCAGCTGGCCATGCTGGTCTGCCGGCTGTACGACGGCGAGCTGGACACCTGCCCGCCCAGCCTCGGCAATCTGCTGGACAAGGTGAATGCCTCCGCTGGACACGCGCGCCTGTGTCGGCCGGGGTCTGTGCCCGTCTTGAGTCGCCCTGTGAGGAAGAGAGAGAGAGAGAGAGAGAGAGAGAGAGAGAGAGAGAGAGAGAGAGAGAGAGAGAGAGAGAGAGAGAGAGAGAGAGAGAGAGAGAGAGAGAGAGAGAGAGAGGAGAGAGAGAGAGGGAGAGGGAGAGGGAGAGGGAGAGGGAGAGGGAGAGGGAGAGGGAGAGGGAGAGGGAGAGGGAGAGGGAGAGGGAGAGGGGAGAGGGGAGAGGGAGAGGGAGAGGGAGAGGGAGAGGGAGAGAGGGAGAGGGAGAGGGAGAAGGGAGAGGGAGAGGGAGAGGGAGAGAGGGAGAGGGAGAGAGGGAGAGGCAGAGAGGGAGAGGCAGAGAGGGAGAGGGAGAGGGAGAGGGAGAGGAGGAGGGAGAGGGAGAGGGAGAGGGAGAGGGTAGAGGGGAGAGGGAGAGGGAGAGGGGAGAGGGAGAGAGGGAGAGGGAGAGGGGGGAGAGAGGAGGAGAGAGGTTGCCCTGGGGCTGCTTGACCCAGTGGTGCCCCGACACATGAAGTTAGTGCGGGCGGTTGTTTGCTGTTTAATTAGCCGTTTTAACGACACAGGAAACTGGTGAACCGGTACAAGTAGCTCAACTCGCTCGGCGTTAATCTGCTGCCTGCAGTTTTGTGCGGCCGCTCACCACTGTGCTGCGTGTGTCGTGTGGTGCTAGTCGGCACTGACCCGAGGCTGCGTGGTGGCGTTGCAGGAGATCCTGGGCGTGACTGAGGAGGATGTGGATCTGACGGGCGCCCACCCGGACCCGTTCCTGCGCTCGATGGCGTACTGGATCAAGAAGGACTACTCGTCCAGTCTCAACACGCTGCTGAAGGTCAACGTGGGCACCCTGCACCCGGCCTACCAGGAGGATGACGCCCAGACCTACTACGGCAGTGAGTGGGCGCATCGGCGCGGCGTGTCGTGCTACCATCATGGAGCCTGCTGGTTATGCGATGCTCTGGTCTTAGTCCGTCGTCATCAAATCACGGTGGCTGTGAAAAGGCACCGACCACGCGGGTCATTGCCACAGCCAGTGAATGCGGCTGGTGCATGATTGCTGCTTCGTTTGGTGACAGTGGCAGGCGAAGCATTGACAGCCTCTCGCTCTGTCAAGGTGTTCAGCACGCAGTGGCATGCGGGCAGGCGGGTAGTGGCAGAAGGGTGCGAGCACTCGCCGACCAGACGTGGATCGCGTGCGGCTGCACAAGCTTGCGGTCACGGTCAGCGGCGTGACTCGCTGCTGACGTGTCGCTGGTGTTGATCGACGCGCTGTTCGCCCCTTGCAGCCAGTCCGACCGTGTTCAACTTCTACGTCTACCTGCGCACGCACCCGCTGATCGTGAAGCAGTACAAGGCGCAGGGGGCGATGAACCGGCGCCGCACGCGCCCCCAGGACGTCGCCGACGACGACCTACAGGTGCGCCGACAGTCGGCCCGCCGGGCCGCGTGGCAGGGGTCATGAGGCGGCCGCCCTCTCTCCCGTGGCTATGTTGAGATTGACAGCGAGCCGCTCCGCTCCTTCGGTGGTGGGTTGCGTACACCGCTGATGTGGCCCGTCGTTGCTGGCGGGACCGAAGTGAGCGGGCGCTGCCGTCCTTTCCCGACGGTGGATGTTGAGATTGCGGGGCGGGGCCACGGGAACGTGTGCTCGCCTGGTGCTTCGAGGCGTGCAGCTGTGGCGTGGACGGCGTCATGGAACCATGCCGGTCTGAGGCGTCCCCCCCCCCCCCCCCACACACACACGCATGCCCGCCCGTCTGCTGACGCGCCGAACGTAACCCCGCCCCGTCTGGGACCCAGTTCTTCCACGTGGACGCCATCACACCGCTGGAGCGGCAGCTGTACTTCAGCACGGCGCATGCGCACTACCGCGCCGGCTGCCCCACCTTGGCGCTTGAGGTGCTCTCCAAGCTGCCGAACAAAGTGCTGGAGAGCTGTCCGGAGGCCGAGAGTGAGTGGTGCGGGACGGCCGCTCGTCCGCGGCCGTCAGTGGTGGAGCCGCGCAGATGGGAACCGGAGCGGCGCGCTCCGGGCCGGGTACCGCGCGACACGCCGACCCCCGCGAGGGGTGCCGTTGAGTGACGGTGGTGACGCGCATGATGTTCGCCGGGTGCGGTTGTGCAACGTCTGGCCTCCGGTCTGGTGGCCGACTGTGTCCGTGACCTCCCGCGCGACCCCCGTGATCCGTTACCCGCGCGATCTGACCTCCGTGACCCCATGTGACCTCGCTGTGCACAGGCGTGCGAGGGTATGCCTGGCGGCCTGGATAGCGCGCTCGCCGCTGTGCCGTGTCCGGTGGTCTGTGTGGCCGAGCGGTCTCCAGGCATGTCTGTAGTGCAGTGTCTTGTTTCCCGGGCCAGCGACCGTCCCGCCGGCAGGAGCTGGCTGGCTGGCCGTCGTGCGTCCCGCCGTCTGCCCGTCATTCTATCTGTCCGTGCTCCTCCCCCCCCCCCCCTCTTCCGCCCTCTCTGGGTCCCCACGGCTCCAAACGGTGACGCCCACCTCTCCGCTCCGCGGTCAGGTGCCGTGGCCAGTCCGGTGAAGTCGGCTCCGCAGGACCGCCGCATCGACACGGGCATCATCGACTGGGGCCAGCCAGGTATGCCTCTCCGCGCGGACCTACCCTTCCACGCTCGGCTCAGTTTCGTTGATTCGCCGCCGACGCCGGAACGTGTGGTCGGTACGCGTGCGGTAATCTGGTGCGCCCAGACGTTGAGACGACCGTGTGTGATCAGCGCGAGTTTTTGGCTGTCTTTCTACGCATTGGCCGTGGGGAACGCCGACTCTTGGTCCACCATTATGTCCACTACACCACTGTCACGGTGGTGCCGTTGTACGGAGTTGCCTGTGTGGCGCCGCTGCCGCCGCCGCGTCCCGTCGATGTCCGGTCGGCAGCCTGAACCGGCGCCGTCTCCGCAGAGTCGGCCTCGATGGAGCAGCTGTCGCTGCCGCTGGCGGCCGGCGTCGGGCCGGCGCCGCTCGAGTCGCCGCGTGCGCCGTCGCCCGTGCCGCAGTCGCTGGGCCAGGACTTCGACTGGTCGACGCCTGTCAGCGCCCGGCTGGCGCCCGAGCCGTTGGAGCTTAACTGGGACGACGACAGGGGCAGCGACACCAGCACCGACACGGCCGCCGAGACCCAGATGGTGAGGCGGCCGACGCGGAATCGCCGCGTGGTCGGGAGCACAGGCGCTGAGCGCCCTCTACGTCCCACGTCATTTCCAGCATGTTTCTAGTTTTTGCTTCCTACGGAACAGAACACCTGTCAAGACAAGCATGCCACATGCAGCCTCCCTCGGATCGCAGTTGGCTAGCTGTCGTGTCTCACTGGGCCGATGCGTTAACAGACGCTGCGTCAGCGTCGCAGCCGGCAAAAGAAGCCACATGCTCTATTGCAGGTCTCCAGTCAGTTGGTTTGGTCGGGAGTGGAGTGACCAGTCAGCTCTCGGTGATACTACCGGGCTTCGCCTGGCCCCGTCTGGTGCCGGCCACGGCCTAGGCCGCTGATCTCGCCGCCTCCCCTCCGCCGCAGACGTCCGGCCCGGGCGGTGCCGAGCCCTCCAGCGTCGGCCAGATGGACATCATGGCGCAGCAGCTCAAGTTCATCGCCTGTCTGCAGCTGATGATGGAGGAGCTCTCGAACCTGGCCAGCGGGCTGGGCGTGGACGGCGGCCAGTTGCGCTACCAGCTCTATCTCTGGCTGGAGCGCCAGGTGGAGGCGCTCATCGACATCTGCAACTACGACGGCGGCACCGTCGATGGTACGTACTGGCGGCGGGGTCCGCCGGCAGGAGCCGAGGAAGCACCGTATGGGTGCCCTCACGTAAAGAAGGACGTGGGTGGGGAGCAAACAACGTACCTTGCACGAGTTGGTCGCGCACCGTTCCAAAGCACTGTGAAAGGGCTTTGAACCGCAAGTGAATCGTACTTCAACCGCCAAGGGGAACAAATGATCTGGGGCAGGCCGACCATAGGCCGATATTTCCCACGACGACTGAGTAACCCAGGCACCTTTTTTGTTCGAAATATTTTGCGAAGCATTTGTGCTTAACAGGTAAGAAATTTATTTGTACATTAAGTGAAGGACATTTTTGGGTACAGCACAAAAGTGTTATTTTATGAAAGTTCTGGCGTATGTATCTTAGGACTACGTGCGGTGTCACAGTGACAGCCGCCTGCGTGAAGTGCAGTCAAGGTCGCCAGGGCGGCGTCCCAGGCAACCTTGAGGTCAGTGTTCCACGTTTATATGTGGTTTTGAACTGGAATTGTCACCTTGAAGACCTTTCGACGCTGTTCACAATCCTGCCCATTTCAAGACCGAAGTCCACCTAAGCTGCTCTAGTTTCTGAGCTATACGCCCGCGAAAATAGGGAGAGTCTTTCAGGGACAGTATTTCAAAGTCGCGCTGGCATTTATGGCGTCATAATAGCTTTATTCAGATCTTGTCATTTCATAAGCCACGCGTTACGGCGATTGGCCCCATGCACGGGGTCTCAAGCCGCATATACAGACGGCTCGAAAACGGGGACAGGTGGGCTCTGCGTGTGTAAACGGCTAAGCCATTCCGTCACTTCCGTTGCCAAAAATGCCTCTGAATACACGTCAGAGTTCGTTGTCATAGACAATAAGGTTCCTTATCATTTCATGGGAGGCTGTTGATGACTGCGCACGTGATGCTCTGTTTCTATGTCTTGGAGCACCTTATTGGCTGAGATAAGCGCATTGCCTACGCACGTACCACACCCATACATACAGGGCGTGTTTTGGTTCGGCCTGACAACGCCGGACCGTGCGAGGAAAGCGTGCCGTTCTAATGGCCTGGGATGCTCAGCGGAAGCGCACTTGGACCATCGCGGGATACGAGCTGGTTCGTCGCCGCGGCAAACGAGCACGGCGCGCGCACCTTGCAGCCGCTCCCTGTCATGCTGGTCAGGCACTTTAAACCCTATCATCATGGGCATTTATAGAACAGAAAATAGGTGACCCTTCGTTCGTCTGCGGCACCACAACAGGCAAGACAGCAATGCAGGCTGTTGGTTCAGGTCGTGTGGCCTGTGCAGGTTGTTAGGGCCGAGCAGCTGCAAGGCCTAGACGTGTTTAAGAGTTATGGCCTATCAGAAGCTGTTGGGGCACATTAGGACCTATGGCCGTTCGAACATCGCGCGATGCGATTAATCGATGAGAAGAGTAGTGTCCTTTGCGGGATACGAATCGGCCACCCGCATGCGATGCATGACATCTGTGCGGTGAAGAACGGCCTCACCGCCTTCACAGCGATGCGCCACGTACGGTTACGTCACATGACGTAGTGGTGTTCACATTTCAGCGAAAAACAGTCAGTATTTCGGACGGGATGCTCCAAGTCTTGCTTATTCAGACATGATTAGTGATGATTCTCAGGCTCTTGTCACGATTCAGCTGTTTTCATCGTCAACAAATACAGGATGTTTAGCCATTTACACACCTCGGTAGTCACTGTTGTGGGCCCAAAGTGGTCTTGGTTGTCGGCGCCCCCGAAAACCCCAGTCGTCATTATCGTCATGTGGATAATAATGCAATTTGGTGTATTTCTGCTGCACGTAACCGACGTTTCGTACGCCGCGGGGTGCGATTGGAAAGTCGACACGCGGCCGGTGAGGTATACCATGGGACTAATCAACGTTACTAGCAGTGCTCATCGTGGCGCGTGACCGTGGGCGCTTCCGGAAACGTCATGCATTTTCGGGATATGCCTCATAAATTATTTCACGTCTGATTTGATCATTACTGCCGGTTGTGTTGACTGTCAGCTTTTTTCATTATAAGCTGATTTCAAAATCCCCAAATCAGGAGCTGTAGGCCAGTGAGAACCTTGCACAACATGATGCGTTTCCATCACGTTCAGTTCCGTTCTATCATAGAAAACCAATGTTATTTGGGGCACCTTGTGTGATCAGCATGTCAAAGCCAAGCATTGATCGCGGTTTGAGTCCGCCGCCTGCAGTTCTGGTATTTTGGTAAAGAGATTGTCAATTGATAACATGATATCTCTTTGGGTCTCTTTCCTTCCTCCTAAGTAACTGCAGGCGCTACATATGTTGTTGATGAGCGTTTATGTTCGGATCGGACCTGGACTAGCCAGCCGGCCTGCACAGTACGGCGGCCTTGAGACTCGCTTAGCGTGGTTATTCCGGCTGTTGTGGGTTCGATGTGGCCAGCATCATCAGCGCCATCAGGGAATGAAGTGGCTCAGCATTAGACTGTATTGTAAAAGAGCAAATATATGGTATAAACTCACAACCAGAACCACATACGTATCTCGATGAATACTGTCCGTCAGGAGGCGCTCAGTGGAGCAGCTTGCTGAGACGCTCAGTCCAGCTTCTCGACGATCGCCTCCTCCAGCGCCTGCTTGGCCCGAACTGCTGCATGCCCTGGCCTTGTTATCGCGCCACCACTCGTTGGACACCTTGCTGGCGTACTTGCTGGCCGGGTCGCCGATCAGCCGGGTGACGATGCCGCTCGCTCCGTGCGGGTCGCACCTTGACGCGGATGCTGGGCAGGTCCACCACCACGTTGGTGTTCTCCTCGGCACGGGCGGTGAACCTGCCGTCCGGACTGATCTCCAGGCCGCAGCGTCGCGCTCAAGCCGGGCCGTCGGGTTGTTGACGTGCACGTCCACATCGGCACTTGACGGACGCACGCAGCTTTCTTGCGCCAGATCTTCTCTGGTGACCCTTCACCCTGCCGTCCAGGTCGCCGCGCAGGTTCGGCCAGCTGATGGTGGCCTCGAGCGCCAGCTTAGTGCCGTGCGGCTCCGGGAAGCTGACCTGCAGATGCGGGATGGTGTAGCTGGAGAGGCCGCGGATGAAGATGTTGTTGAGCCACCACTCGTAGCGGCCATTCCTGTCGTAGCGGTTGGGCAGATGCAGCGGGTCGCTCTTCTGGCGCACCTTGTCGCTCAGGCCGAGCAGTGTCGTCCTGATGCAATTGCTGAGAGCAGCGTCGTCTCCCAGGTCGCAGTTCAGCTCCTGGGCGGAGATGGTGGCCACGAGGGCCAACAACAGCAGCGCGCTCTTGCCACACCGACTCGCCATCTTGTCAGGTCTTTGCTGTTCAGTCAGCGGCAGTTGAATGGTTGGCCCGTCTGGACCGGCCGCTTATAACTGGTGCCGCGCCCCTTGTACTGTAAACAGATGGTATGGGAGTCTCCCGAGGCTGGCTAGCCGGGACGCCCGGCAGAGACGGTGGAAACTCCGGCCGGCCGGAGCGTCATTCGTCGGGGATGTGGGCGCCAGGGGTCTGGAGCGTGCAGCCCGTAGTAATTTTCCGACGTGACTCGGTCCAAGGGGGGGGGGGGGGTAACGAACCAGTGACAGAAAGGCCTCAGATTACGCGAACGCGCTGTCCTTTGAGCCCCTATAGGTTTAAGAGCTTAAATGTTTCCGCGCTGAAATGGTGTTGTGGCTTGCTTCATTAGGGAGTCTGATAACAAAAGATTAACACTTATGGTATATTTTCATAATCCCACGGTTTCATGTGGAGTACATGGAACATGTGTATTTCAGTAGGAACTTCTTGCGCCAAGTGGCTCAACTAAGCACAGTAACATAAGTACCGCTCACTACCAGCTGCTCATAGCACCACTAATGTAAGATGAGTGTGGTAAGCAATAATAGCTCGCTACTTCCAAAGAGCCAGTTTACTTAGCTCAGACATGTGCCTGGTTTCTAGTGGTGGCTCCTAGTCCATCCTGGCCCCAATCGTACCTGTGGTATCTTTGCGTTGACGGTATTCATTCGCCTGTAGAACCTTTCTGCTGGAACTTTTCGGAGTTTGTCGCATGCCTTGGCTGATCGGATGACACAAGTCTCGTTACTAGATTGGTAACGGCCGCCAGCAGAGTCTGTTCGAATTGGTCAGAAGTGAATGTTCAGTGTGTCGGAGGTGCGTGGTACGGGCGTGATTCTGTCACGCCTTCCGGGACAGCGTATTTTAAGCATGCCCACCTGAGCTGGCGACTTTTGTATGCGACGATAGGTGGTCTCTCAATGGCGACTTCTGCAGGCGGCGATAGGTGGTCTCTCCGTGGCGACTTCTGTAGGCGGCGATGGGTGGTCTCTCCGTGGCGACTTCTGTAGGTGGCGATAGGTGGTCTCAGTGGCGACTTCTGTAGGCGGCGATGGGTGGTCTCTCCGTGGCGACTTCTGTAGGCGGCGATAAATGGTCTCTTCGTGGCGACTTCTGTAGGCGGCGATGGGTCTCTCCGTGGCGACTTCTGTAGGCGGCGATGGGTGGTCTCTTCGTGGCGACTTCTGTAGGCGGCGGTAGGTGGTCTCTTCGTGGCGACTTCTGTAGGCGGCGATGGGTGGTCTCTCCGTGGCGACTTCTGTAGGCGGCGATAAATGGTCTCTTCGTGGCGACTTCTGTAGGCGGCGATGGGGGGTCTCTCCGTGGCGACTTCTGTAGGCGGCGATAAATGGTCTCTTCGTGGCGACTTCTGTAGGCGGCGATGGGTGGTCTCTCCGTGGCGACTTCTGTAGGCGGCGATGGGTGGTCTCTTCGTGGCGACTTCTGCAGAGGCGGCGATGGGTGGTCTCTCGTGGCGACTTCTGTAGGCGGCGATGGGTGGTCTCCGTGGCGACTTCTGTAGGCGGCGATAAATGGTCTCTTCGTGGCGACTTCTGTAGGCGGCGATGGGTGGTGTCTCCGTGGCGACTTCTGTAGGCGGCGATAAATGGTCTCTTCGTGGCGACTTCTGCAGGCGGCGATAAATGGTCTC